CATTTTAGGCCCTTCTCCGTAATATAAATAAGTTTTTTCTCAAAGTTTAATAACATATTTGAACCTTTTCCCAAAAAAAATATTTAGTGATGGAGTTATAGTTTTATACTTTCGTTTGGTTGGGAATAAGTTATCCCAGGATAACTTATCCTGGGGTTAGCTATCCTAGGATAACTTATCCCATCACTATGATATAAATGGTGGGATAAGTTATCCCAAACATGACAACCAAACAAGATACAAAAACTTTATTCCATCACTATTTTCTTATCTCATCACTATTTATTTCTATAATTGTTTGTTTGCAAAATTTAGTGTTTATTTGGAATGAACTTCCAAAATTTCTTTTTTTAAAGCCACTAGCTTGACCCTCAACGTATTGTTAGTAGAGCCGTCCAGTCAGTGCATCGACGCAAATGACCTCAGTGGGATCAATGAACTATTGTTCATCTATAGCATATTCCACATTCATATGTTCTAATTCTTCAGTATCAACTTCTACGTCCTCATCCCATCGACGAGATTTAACTGTTTAGTCTTGAACCAAATTGAACTAATATTCAGTAATTATAGGAAATAGAGGGTTATTTATTGATGTCATTTCCAAACACTGAAATTCCAACAAAAGGGAACAACAGCTGAAAGAGAACATAGTTGAAATATCAAATCAACTAGGACTTGTATGAAAGAACTGAGATCACCAGATATGTGAATTGACTGGAGTTTTATTGATCTCAGCCTTACACATGCCCCCCTTATTCTTCTTAATTAACTATTAGTTATACTTTTTGGCAATTCTCATAAGACTAGTAAAAAGTTGTTGGGGCTTAGACATCATCATCATTGTGTCAGAGCCCTGGATCTCTTCCACTTCATCTGGTGGATTCTTTTCAATCATCAACCGTTGAAATTCCTTCTTCAGAAGTCTATCTTCAACAGCAACAATGAACGCTCGCCTAACTGATCCATACCTTTTGTTTGTGATAACTACCTCCTTAGAAGTATCCTCCACACTGTAATAGCGTGTTGGCCTTACTAGTGTATAGGCCAACGTCAAATCCTAACACCAACAAGGAAAAAAACCCGATTTAAATCAGTTCCAAATTGTTGTCGCCATTAACTACTTGAATAGATCTATAATTTGGATAAACTCTTGAAATATTCCAATAGGTGAAGCCTACTAATAATTTTTGGCGAAAGAAGTCACTTTAGGGACATTCTCATGACCAGAACAACAAAACTTATTGGCTATTTCAATTATACTATATATTTGAATTATGCTTTGCTTACCTGAAATGGGCTCCGCTGGTACATATTAGTTTCCATGTACTTAGGACCTGGGATGAAGATTGTTGGAGGATTCGTAGGACCATTATTGTATATAAAACGATTATCAGGTCGAGATACTGACTTGAGTAACTGTAACAAAGTATATTTAGTTTCAAACATGTACAAGCATAAATGAACATATAACAGATCATCTCATTGCTAAAGTTGGGAATATGGAACATTGGTACCTCAGTGTAGACTGTGGTTACATTGATTTTTGGACCAGGCATCAGAGCAGTGACAAATATGGCAACTGAAATTTTTGCTGGAAAGGTTTCCATGGCTTTAGCAATGGCGAGTCCACCATAGGTATGGCCTACAAGAACCACTTTTTCATGTGCAGGAAGAGAAGCCATGAACTCCATTAGCGGAACCAAGTAATCAGAAAAAAGTGGGACTTGGAAGGTCTGTTTCGGGTTGATTCCTGAAGCAGCCAAGTCCAGAGCAGTGACATTATGCCCTGAAGATCTGAGCAATGCCACGATCTTGTACCAGCACCAGGCTCCATGGCCTGCTGTGTGAACAAGCACAAAGTTCTTCTTAACTTCAGGCTCTGACAAGGTTGCATTTGCATATGACAACAAAAGTATTACAACTACTAGACTTGTTAGAAACTTGGTTTTCTCCATATCTTTTTCCCTTCTTTTGAAGAATGAGCACATTATATGAACAATTACAAGGGTAGCTTTATAATCCGATCGAGGAGTTTGGTTTCTGCAACTTACTTCCATGCACAAGCAATGTAGTATGTAGGGGGTGGTACAAGCCTAGGGATTGTTGTCTCTCTATTAATAGTCACGCTTGGCATATGAAAAATTATGAGCCATGCACTGGCATGTTTTCAGGGCAGGTCAATTTGAGCATACTCCACGTTAATTCATCTAAAAGTAGGGCTGATTTTGACTGTGTAGTCCATAGACCATATTGATCCATAAGATTACTAGTCAATATTTTTTTTTTTCATTATTTATGTGATAAATTAGATTTAACCAACAATGAAAATAATGTTTTATTTAGTAATTAACAAAAGAAATTGAACTTTCTAATTGTTAGAATTAGGGTATTGGGCTATGACCTATTACTTAGTTCATCTCAACCCAGTAACCTTCAAAGTTTGGGCGGGTCATGTTATTGATCCTGTCCATTTTGACCCCTCCAAATTTAGCTCAAACTTCCCATTTGACACCTCTATTAATATACTGAATATGAGCCAAAACTATTGGATTCGAATGAACCCATATATTTATCTTGAATGTTTTTCTTGGTATTTTAATCATTCACCAAGTCAACTAAAGGAAGAGCTGTATAATTAAAAAGTTCAGCTGTCTTAAAATCATGACCATGTAATCTAATCCTTCAACTTCTTCCACTGGATCAATCATCAATTCTTTAAGTCTACTGGGCTACCTTATCTTCATCATATACAATAAACACTCAATTAACACATCCATAATTCTGTTAGGACAAAGCTAGTTTCTTTGAAATGTATTATTCATGTACAAATACAGTTATCATAGAAAATGAAAATGGATCTCTAATTTGCATTGGTTTGTTATTCATATCACGCTGATGAGATTTAACTGTTTGGTCTTTAACATAAATTAAGTAATTACATGAAATAGAGGTTGTTTATTGATGTCATGAATTCATGAAATGTCAAATTGATTAGCATGATAATAAGGACTTCGATGAAAGTACTGAGATCGCCATATAAATGCATTAGGTATGCGAATTGACTTGAGCTATATTCTCAGCCTTACACATGTCCGCCTTATTCTTCTTAATTAACAGCTACTATTATTTGAGGCAGTTGATTTTTAGAGGAGTTTGGCTATTATTTGGTTAAGTGGGCAAGCAAGGTATCTCTAGGCTTGTGACTTCTTGGATTTCCAAAGCACATCCTACTAAAGGCACTCCACTAAATGCTATTATCGTCTTCGGTAACTAGTGTTTAACTCTGTAATCATCTGATGTAAAAGTTTAAGTTATTAGAGAAATAATGAACTGAAATCAAAATTTTAAACAACATTTTAGTTGCACATTAATGAGTTAATATCTTTGATGGTCACTCAACTATCAACTTTTTTCACAGAAAGTCACTTAACTTTGATTTTCAACTCAAAAGTCACTCAACTATGGAATCTTTGCATAGAAAGTCATTCAACCTATTTAATTGTTCTTTTCATTAAAATTTGGTGACATTGAATTTTTATTTCTAACTAAAATTTTAAGAAATAAATATATATCCATTTAAATAAATGACCCGACCCGCTAAAAATATAATATTGATCCTCTTAATTTACCTTTATTTTCCAAAATTATTTTCTCTGTCTCCCATTCTTCTCCTTTGCCTTATTTTTTTAAAAAAAAATTCTCAATTTCAGCCTCTTCTTCCTTCTTTTAGTTAGGTCCTGACAAGTTCATATGGCAACGGAGACTGACTCTTTTTTCTCCATATCTTTTGAAGGATGAGCACATAATTTTTTACTTTTCTTATGTAGTTGTAACACGTTTCAACTATCTTATGTGTTTATGCAAAATCTTATACTAAATCACTTGAAAGAGAACGAGTATATAGATATATATATTATAAGGGAAGAGACACAATTATTGTTATTCTTTCTGAAAAATTGCATCCCTTTAGAAGGGATTGTCTTAATAGAAATCGACGACACTTTTTCTTTGCTCACTTCTTATCTTAATCTCTCAAGTTCTTGTGAAAGGATTTTATTGAAGATTCTTCCCCGAAATCAAGAACAAACTTCTGTAACATGTATGCAATTATAGCCTATGACTATTTCGGTGTAGTCCGTGTTTCATAAACAAGTTATTGTTAGGACGAAATAATTAAATGTCATGCATAAGCTAGCGAAACAATTCTCGAAAGATCATTAGTAAAAAGACAAACAAGAAATTCATCTATATTAATATATATTTTTTTATTTTTTTTTATATCTATACTACATTAAAAACATGAACTCCAAAAGAGCAATGTTAAATTACGTAAATACACCTCACTTAAAACTTAAGAAGATTACGCAGATACCCCTCACATAAAACTTATAAAGATTACGCAAATACCCTTAAATTTTTTTAAAAAAACCTAACTACGCATCCCTCCCGCAACAAACACCTTGCCTAGCCTACGAATAGACACCACTTTCCCTGGACAGACTCCACGCTTTCACTGGAAAGACACCAACTTTCCCCTGCAACTGCCCAACGTCTAAAAAATTACCAATCAACACAACCTCTGGAGATTTCTCTAATTATATCAGCCACCGGCACAACACCGTTTCCCAATAATAATTCAACTTGTGCATAAGACGCAAAGGTATGCCATTTTTCCTCTTCTGAAACAAGCCAAATTTTAAAAAACTCAAGTCTCACATATGCACTTTCTAATTAAATTAGGTGAATATTGATCATCCATCTGCAACCACATTACAATATTGGACTTGTCTTTTAAATATTTCACTCCGCATCAAAAGTTGTAAGTTTTCACTCTGTTTAAGTTTCCTGTTATGCTTTTCATTGGACTACTTGCAGCACATACATTGCTACAACATACTTACTTATTCCTTTGTTTTAACTACTACACACTGCGGCCTTGAATTACTATTGATATTCACTTTCCGCTATGCACCTCTAACCATCCAGATTCATCACAAATGGCGACCGAAACTGAACTATCAAAGCAGTGTGTCCCCATCAACAAGATACCAAAACACTCTGTTGATTGGGTGATGCGAGTATTAGTTATTCGCAAGGGTTCTGTAATTTCGTACAGCAATACTCGCCATGAAGGGACTTTCCAAACTGTAATATTAGTGGACGATGAGGTAACACTTTTGCTCAGCTTATATGTTATCGTTCCCATTTATTCCCGTTTTACTTCTCTAATGACATCACATATCGCTTACATCAATACTAGGGGACAAAGTTGCAAGCAACGCTATTTAACAAGCATATCGACACATGGAAAGACTTCTTGAAGACAAATAAGACGTACTACATTGCTAACGGGTTGTTGGATCGGGTTAATCCCAACTACACTTCCGTGCACAAAGAGATTGAACTGACCATTACAGATAACACAATCATAAGGGAGAGCGACCATGTTGTTTCAACACACAACTTCTCTAATGGTTTTGTATCTTTGGAACAGGCAGAGAAATTGCCTAATGGTGCCATATTTGGTAACTCTTCATACGACTTGTTAATAATTTTTGTCAATTACATCATACAGATCACTAATTTATATATCCGCTATTCAGACTTGCTTTGCGTGTTAGTTACGGTGAATCCCATCATTGAAAAAGGCGATAGCAAAAGATGCGAAATTGTTGTTACAAATGAACTGTAAGTTGCCCTTCTTTGTTCTCCACTGTCCATAATAATCTGGCAGTGCACTGACAGTACTTATCTAATTCATAATCCAGCATGGACTGTACGACTGTTACTCTGTGGGGAGATTTTGCACTAAACGACGGCGCCTTTCTTGAAAAGCTTAAAGATGACCAACCTATTCTAGGCTTATGTGACGTGCGAGTCTCAATCTATAAAGGTATAGACAACCTCTCCTATTTGCTGATTGTACAAATTTCAAGTATATTTGCTAATTTCTCGAATAAATATGTTGATTCCAATGTAGGGATTTTTGGGATATCAACTCTTCCCGTGAGCAGTGTGTTGATCAATCCAATCTTTCAAAAAGCACTAGATCTTCGCGCATGGTACAAAACCTCATTAACTAATATGCTCGACAATTTTTATTTACCGTTACTTCCACAACTTATGTTCAAACAAGAATTTAACAACATAGCCACAATTTGTTTATAGGGAGAACTATATACAACCATGCCTATCAAGTTAAATTTTAATCTAACAAATTTTAAACCCACAAACATTTCCTCAATTATGTGCTACAATTAACTCACCTCTTTCGATATACAGGCGTGAAGTCATAAAGGCCGAAAAGAAAGCTATCACAACCACACCAAGTAAGGTAATGAGAAAAGCCACAGAAGTGACATTACCCAATATTATGGATGGCACGCTTGCTGATACACAGGTACCTCCAAAACGACACTTTACCTATCCAAACAGGACCATTGTTTACCAAAAATAATGTTGTATATTGGCTATTAACAATGTCCAGGGAGCTTTATACAAGTTCAAAGCCAAAATTATAGACATACTCAATACAGATGAACCATGGTACTCGTCCTGCAAAAAGTGCCACAAGAAAGTGCAAGTTAAACAACATACAACGACATGTCCCAATTGCAACATCCAGAATGTGGAGTATGAAATGAGGTTAGACTTGCCTAAAATAAGCAATCAACATTTTATGATAATATACAACCAGTTTAACTATGAACTCTAACTTATTCACCTTATTTTAAAGATACTACTGACGGCTTGAAGTTTGTGCTGGAGAACAACGTGCTCGGGTTATACTATTTGATGCGGCACAAATGTTAGTAGGTTACAATGTCGAAGAGTACATCAAAACAACCTCGGAAAATGTATGCCTTGTACTTCTAACATCTTACACCATATTTCAACGTACTTTAATCCCAACAATAAATAAGTGTATGACTAACTTTCAGAACTATTTTTATGCTAATATATCCAATTGTTGACATTTCTTACAGAAGGAAGAATGTATGTACTACCACAGATTGGTGTTGATTAAAGACAAGGAATTCAACTTCCTTGTCCGCATCGATATGAATAATTCAAACCCGCGAAGGAGTCTAATTGCTCAGGAAATACATGCCATTGAAGATGAAGCGGTAATTATAATGTCAGATGAATCAAAATCACTAACACCACCCACAAACAGGGGCAAGAAATCCACTGCGTTAGAAAGACATGGTCTTGAAGATAAATCACCAATCATAGTGGAAGAACCACAAAATGTGAAGCCGCGAAGGAAGAGGTCTAAGAAATCCAATGCGCTACATGTCCTTGAAGATGAAGCACCAAACATAGTGGCGGAAGTACAATCCGTAAGGCTGCGAACAAAGAGGGGCAAGAAATCCAATATGCAACAAATACATGTTGTTGGAGAAGAATCACCAAACATAGTGGAAGAAGTACGATCCGTTATGCCAACAACAAGCACGAGCAAGAAAATCAACAATGAACATCTCCAAATTAAAACTAAGTTCACAAAAGTCGAGTCATAATAGATGACTTCGTTGATAGTGTTACCGAGCATAATGTATGTATGTTAGTAATGTCTGTATTTTAATGGCTTCATCGGCTGCTTTAACTAATATATATATATATGTTTATTATTACCTAATTAAGTGTGAATTATGCAAATAATAGCACCTTAATAATTCAAATCTAAATCGCTTAGGCTGTTGTTTATAATATCCTATCTACCCCCCCCCCCTCTCTCCACCCATAAAATAACGTATATTCATCACATTTAAAACGATTAAACCATTGAATAAAAATACTCAATTAACCAACCATAAAGTAGTATTACTTAGAAACATTGAATATAAAGCCTAAAATATCCATTATAACTAACACATCTACCATTGCACGAGAAATTCGTTAAAGTAAAGACAATGTCCTAGACCGAGAAATATTGATACAAACACGAATAACTCTTACGCGAGAAATGTTTCCTCTTACGACTTTAAGGACTAACGCAACAAAAGAAATACTAAGAAACTTCAAATTTACATTTAAAAAAACAAAACATGAAAATACACTAACCCCAGGGAAGACCCATCACCGAAAACATTTTTTAAATAACAACATCCTCACTACACTTTCAAATTTACAAACAACAAGAAACCTCCTAAAAGCCAATAAGCAAATCAATACACTTTAAACATACTACTACGGTAAATAATAAGCAACATGTAAAATAGAGATTTAATTATTCCACTAATTCGACAGTACAATTGTAAGCTATCGAACGTCGACGTCAATGGCACCTCTGGAGCATCGCGCCCATCCAGAAGAGTTACAACCTCCTGAAAAGTTACAACCACACCCAAAAGAGGCCAATTGAAGCAATTCCAACCGTTCGCCGAGGATACCTTTAAAACAAACGCCCAATGCCAATGCACATCAAACTAAAAGGAACAGAAAAAACTTTGAGAAATTGCTAAGATCTTGCCGCGCCATTACAATACTACTATCTGTACGACTTTACTGAACGGGCACATCTGCATAAATTTCTGAATTGTTTGGGAGAATTGCCAATCCAAACTACAAACTGTAAGTAACAAATCATTCATTTTTACCATTGTTCAATGTTCTTACTACTCTGCCTTTGTGAACATCTCTCAATAATCTCTGATTTGGTACACTCATGCTGAGATTTGTTCGGCTAACCTGCATGCGTTTTATAATTTAGAATTCCCTCCCAAACTCCGCTACTTTGAAAGGAATATGGCCGAATTACACAAAAGAAGTATATGACAGTCATACATGATGGTAACAAAAATAGGAAACCTGACAGCCCATCTCCCTAACCCCCATGACATAGGAAAACCATACTTGAATAATAATCGCTATGCTCGCGAGGAAGTTGTTGACTATTACTACTATTTGCTTCAACCTGGTAAACTAAGGAAAGGGTTACAAAAGACTCTGCCCACACGCTTAAGGGATGCACACCCATTAAATAAGATGAAGATGAAAATTCAATAAGTATATGCTACAAAGAGGACCTTAGTTGAAGATGTCTAACAAAATAAACCACCAATGCTCTGATTGTCGGTTGATCAGGACTCACTAGCATATAGATGCTGATGTATGGACTTGCCCTAGACTAAAAATGTACATCAGTACTCCTACAAAAAAAATAACCCAGTCACACTTGCACACACACGTTAATAAAATTTTAGTAAAAAGATTGTGATAGTGGACCATGATGAAGATGTCCTTAAAATTATTACATATATTGTACAATAACTTGAATATGTGGTATTGTGTTTACATTGACCGTATGACTTTCATGATTACTACCTGATTGACTATTTTAGAGAAAAATTGAAACAACTGATGCATTTACATACTCACAATATTCAAACAGGTCACTCATTACTCAAAGAGAGGATTATCAAACATGGACTGCCAATCTAATCAACGGGTCAAAACAATAGGTCAGAAATACGTGCCCTAAATTTAATCATTACTTTTAAAAGCAAGACCAAATCAAAGTGAGAAAACACTAACATGCTAACATCACAAATTCAATAGGACACAAACGTAAAATACTGACAGATGTAGAAAGGGCATTGCGAAGGGTGCAAAAATATACTGCCTCTACAAAGCCATCAGAAGTTGGATATATAGAACCAAAGCTGAAGAAGCGGAAAAAAAGTTGGCTACTTCAAGCTTTATCAGAGGAGAACTATAATGAAGGTAAATTGACTAAAATATATTACACTACAACTTACACACCTTTAAGTGAAGTCACCAAAGAAATATGTTATGCTAAAAAACTCAATTTTGAATTGTGAATGTAGGCGAAACAAATGTGAACTTATCAACAACATCAACTCATAAGCTGCAAAAACAATTGGATTGCATCTATTGTCATGCCATGAGGCTTGAATATGAGCCACCAACATTTTGTTGCGCAAGTGGATATATTCAGTTGGCCCCCGACGAAGTTGGAGAGGACTTATACAAATTATTTACAGATGAGTCCAAAGAAGCCATCATATTTCGGAAACATATTCGAGCGTATAATAGCATCTTTGCTTTTACATCATTTGGAGTACAACTCAACAAAGAACTGGCATCTTCAAGGAAAGGCATTTACAGCTTTAAGGCGCAAGGACAAATCTATCACGACCTACCATCATTGATCCCGAAGGATGACAGGCCACGTTACTTCCAGCTATACTTCTATGATACAGATCATGAAGTCGCCAACAGAATGTCAATACTACAAGATGCTAATTTATCCGAGGAAGTCATGAAAAAAATCAGGAAAATAATGGAGCAAAATCCATATGCAAAATTTTTTACACAACTAAAGCATCATTCAAATTTTCAGAACTTAGAAATACGCATAGCTGCAAATGCTTCTTTAGATCAACGGGTGTATAACAAACCTTCAGTAGATCAAGTTGCGGCAATTTGGGTAGACGGAAACAATCCAAATATCTCATTTGAAAGAGATATTGTAGTACACGAACATTCCGGGAACAAACATCGAGTAAAACATTATTATGGTTGTTATGATCCTCTACAGTATCCATTGATTCTACCAAATGGTGAAGGAGGTTGGCATCAAGGAATAGTGAAATCTCACAATCCAAATATCACCATTCCTACATATACAACAACAGCTGCCAACATATGCCCTCGATCATATGCCAGTGCAACAGAGGTTTTGAACAATGAAGAACAAGGTTAGCACATTTACATTCTGCCATCAATCAAGTAATTCACCCCCCACACATAGTATAATAAGAAACTCAATTAATTTTCCGACTAACAGCTTCATATGGAGAACAAATCTAAGGCAACAAATATCAAACAACAACAATATATGTAATTGCTTAAAAAACATGTTCCAGAGGGGTAGTAATTAAATTCAATGAATGTGGTAAACTAACACAACTACATGCAAAGAAATATATTCTACTATAATATACTTGTGAACGTGATGTGGTAATAATATAATATTCAAAGAAGGCCACACATACCTCATGATAAACTGCACTCAAAACTAAACTTATTTAAATTATTTGTAGGTGTACGACGCGAAATAAGAGGTTATGTTTCATGTAGAGAGTACTACTGCTATAAACTACAAGTACGAACGAATGACAAAACAATTTTGTTGCTATCTGGTAGATTGTTACAACAATTTGTAGTGGACATGTACATAAAATTAGAAACCACGCGACTTGAATATTATAGATTCGAACAATCAAATTACAGAAGAGAGATATTACAAGGTATCGTTGATAGTGTTACGGCAGGCGAATGCAGAGGAGAGAAGGTCGGGCAAAGGGTCTTACTACCAGGGTCATTCATTGGAGGCCCGAGGGATATGCGACGACGCTATATGGATGCTATGGCACTGGTACAAGAGTATGGAAGACCAGATCTATTTATCACCATGACGTGTAACCCTGAATGGACAGAGATTCAAGAACAACTATGTGCGGGGCAAGTCGCTCAAGATCGTCCAGATTTGGTGACTAGAGTGTTTAGGGCAAAATTGCAGGACCTGAAAGACCAAATATTTAAAAAGGAAATTTTTGGCCCGACAGCAGCACATGTTTTTGTAGTTGAATTTCAGAAGAGAGGCCTACCACATATACACCTACTACTAATTTTAAAACAAGGTCATAAAATAACATCAGCAGATCAGTATGATCGATATATTTCGGCAGAGTTGCCTGCTAAGGATAAGCAGCCAGAATTACATGAATTGGTTATTAAGCATATGATTCATGGTCCTTGTGGTATAAAACGACAATCAAGTCCATGTATGAAGGACGGACAATGTAAGTTTCACTACCTCCGAGCATTCAACAACAAAACAATACAAAGGAGAGATGGATATCCTATTTACCGAAGAAAAAATGATGGGAGGACAAGCGAGGTTCGAGGAATGAAGATGAATAATCAGTGGGTTGTCCCTTATAATCCATATTTATTGAAGAGATATAATTGCCACATTAATGTAGAGGTTTGCTCAGGTGTTAAAGCAATAAAGTACCTGTACAAGTATATATATAAAGGACATGATAAGTGTGCAGTTTACATTGAGTCAGACGAGGGTGAAAAATTCATAGATGAAATTCGAAGCTTTCAAGATGCACGTTGGGTGTCACCACCTGAAGCGATGTGGAGGATTTACGAGTTTACTCTAAGAGAAATGCAACCAGCTGTTATAAACCTACAACTACATCTACCCGGTAAACAAGCATGTATCCTAAAACATATTCTCAGATAGTATAAATACAAGTCACAGTTCTCCAATCAAAGCGATTAATATTAATAATAAGCTTCTGTTTTAAAATGTAGTCTACTATTGGAAGAAGCAAAATCTTCAAAATATTGCAGGCTCCCAGTTTGTACAACAAACTATGTTTACTGAGTATTTCAGGATGTGCTTGAATGACACTGACGCTCGCAATTATCTATATAGAGAATTCCCCAAGCATTATGTTTGGAATTCCCAATCTAAAGTTTGGACTAAAAGAAAATCGCGCTCCGTGATCGGCAAAATAAATGTTGGTAAGTATTACACTTTGATATGTGGCATTTATGAGTTAAACAATAAACTAACTAGGATGATCGAAATCACAGCTAATCCTAGAGAAGGAGAAAGGTATTACGAGAGATTATTATTAAATCATGTTCGAGGTCCGACATCATTTGAAGACTTACTCACTGTTAATGGAATACATTGTCATACTTTCAAAGAAGCTGCCAAGGAAAGAGGTTTATTAGAATCAGATGATAGCATTTCAGAATGCTTACGCGAGGCTGTAATCTTTAAGATGCCTGTAGCTCTTCGAATGTTGTTTGCGACAATTTTAGTTCATTGCAACCCAACAGATGTAAGAAGACTATGGGACACATATTATAACGATATGTCAGACGACTTTCAGAGGACCCATGCCAAATCAGCCGAGGCCAAACTCCAAAGTACGTTGAAAAGTGTAAATTCATACTTGGAGAGTATGGGTCAAAGTGTTGCAAAATTTGATATGCCACAAATCCAACAAGAATTACATCAAGGTGACACATATGAATGCCGAGAAATAGTCGAAGAAAGGTCTGTGAAGGTGCCAACTGAAGATATGGAGGCACAATCAAAGTTGAATGAACAACAAACGCAAGCATTCAAGACTATCTTGCAAAGGACCGACTCTGGAACACCAGGATTATTCTTTGTAGATGGACCCGGTGGAACTGGAAAAACATATCTATATCGGGCATTGCTGGCACATATAAGATCAAGAGGTATGATAGCATTGGCATCCGCCAGCAGCGGGGTAGCAGCAGCAATCTTACCGGGAGGTCGTACAGCTCACTCGAGATTTGGAATACCTCTACAAGCTAATGAAACAACAATGACAAATATGTCAAAACAAAGTGGCGGGGCTAAACTTATTAAACAAGCCAAACTAATAATATGGGACGAAGCACCAATGGCTAAGAGACACGCAATTGAAACAGTCGACAGAAGCTTTCGTGATATAATGGAAAAAAATGTACCTTTTGGGGGAAAAGTAATGGTATTTGGAGGTGACTTTCGACAAGTGCTACCGGTGGTTCCAAAATCAACACGAGCAGAGACAGTGGATGCAAGTTTGGTAAGGTCATATTTGTGGCCTTTGATGGAAAAAATTCATTTAACATCCAACATGAGGGCAAGAACAGATCCAAATTTTAGCAACTTCTTGATTCGTGTTGGAAACGGCGAAGAGAACACAATACGGGATAATTTAATACTACTACCACAACAAATAGTGGTCCACCCAACTGGTCAGGGTAAGGCAGAAGAATGCTTGGTAACAGAAATTTTTAAAGGGCTACAACAAAATTACAGATCGGCAAAGTTTATTACTGAAAGGGCAATCTTAGCAAGTCGAAATGAATTCGTAGATAATATAAATGAAATGATGATTACTCGATTCCCAGGAGAAACCAGAACATATATCAGTTTCGACTCGGCAGAAGATGATACCAATAATTACTATCAAGAAGAATACCTAAATACATTAACTCCAAATGGTCTGCCGCCACATAGGTACATCAATATACTCAATCTGTCGTTAACATTTTAATTATTATATTAGTTTGAATTCCTGTACCAGATCAACAACAAAGGTGTGGTAAAATACATAACATCATATGTATCTTTAAATTAAACATATTAGGTTGGTTTTGAAAGAGAATGCGCCTATCATGATGCTGCGCAATTTAGACCCATCAAATGGTTTATGCAATGGGACACGATTGATTTGTAGAGGTTTTGACAACAATGTCGTGCATGCAGAAATAACTACAGGAGAATTTGCAACAAAACATGTGTTTATACCAAGAATCCAATTATCGCCGCCTGAGAATGAAGGATATCCTTTTAAATTTATTCGGAAGCAATTTCCAATACGTCTATGTTTTGCCATGACAATAAATAAGGCTCAAGGTCAAACGATACCTAATGTGGGATTATATCTTCCCCAACATGTTTTCTCCCATGGGCAACTATATGTAGCTTTATCAAGAGGAATCTCAATGGCAACAACAAAGGTATTGGTTATGACTGAACAACCAGATACGGGGACAGGGACATATGCAAGAAATATCGTATACAAGGAAGTATTAGGTTAGCGACGCTTTCAATCTTTAGTAGCGTAATCAAGTTGGAATAAAAATAACTTATTACATGTAGCTAATGAAAATGTCTTTGGTCATATTTATAGGTCCTGTTGAAAAAGAGACGAGCTAACCATCAAAATGCAACTTCTGAAGCAAATACAACTATTGTGAAAAATTTGATATTGATAGTTAGGATACAAATGACTTCAAACTCTTGGAAGGTATCCTCTATTTTAGAACAATGTCATAAACACAACCAATTGTAGCTTCGAGCAGTCTTACATATCCGCTTATTCATTTGAACTTCCACACCATTAAATGCATCTAATAAATTCAAGACAATTTTCAGAAATGGAGTATTATTTCAAAACAAATATCTGGTAGCTAACGAACATCCATACAAACAAATCTCTTAAGACCTATGCCATATATTGAACAAATAGAGTGTGTATGCTTTAATGCTGCCCAATTGTAAGCATGAACTAATATTTGGTAACTAAGAAACATCCATACCAAGAAATACCTTAAAGACATATTCCATATATGGAACAAAACGAGTATTCATTCTTTAATGCTTCACAGTTGAACACATCACGAGACTAGCCAACCACGTGCAACGCACGTGCAGTGAATCTAGTATATATATATATATGGGAAAAGATATTTTAGAAAGCCGACGCGTTACCTATAAAAGGAGGTAACACTGATATGTGAGCGCACTCTTTGTTCTTCTTTTTTTCTGAATAGAGGATTGAAAGATTGGCAACCGGAATCCGGCCATGACGACGGTAAAAAGATTGAACCAGAGGATTTTTAGGTTACTATTTTTCTCCTGTTTCTTGAATTGGTCATTCCTGGTTCTTGAGTTCTTGAATTAATGTTTTGTACTTAATGATAATTGTAATCCCTTTTTATGTTAAAGTTGGTAAGATGTCCCTGGTTCGGTTCTTGAATTGAAGTTACCGGTTATTTAATTCTTGAATTGATGTTCCTTCATTCGTCTTCTTTCCATTGTTTTTCCTTATTTGTTCACATGGTTGTAGCAAGATCAATTTTAGGTTATATGCCCATTGTAATTAAATTTTATTGTTTTTGAATTGACGTTCATGGTTTCTTGAATTGTTTTCGATTTAGGTTACTACCTTTTCTTATTTATGTTCCTGGTTCTTGAATTGATTTACCTGGTTATTGAATTCTTGAATTCATCTTCCTGGTTCTTGATTTGACTTACCTGGTTATTGAATTCTTGAATTCATGTTCTGCATTTAACGATAATGTTCAATTGGTAATTTCTTTTTATGTAAGAGTTCGGGGAGATGTGATTTATCAGTGCTTGCTGGGACTTTTTGAAGGTGGATATTCTCCGGACTATGGAAAATTTTCACTCTCATGCTTTTTTTTGGGAAAAGTCTTAATTTTTTTTTTGGCTCTTATAAAAAAAAATAGGGCCAAATAATTGAGAGATTATAGGTCAATCAGTCTGATTAGTAGTATTTACAAGATTATCTCCAAGACTCTAGCTGAAAGAATGAAAAGGGTGATCGAGAAGATAGTAAGCAAACACCAGATGGCCTTCATTAAGGGTAGACAAATTATTGATGCTTTCCTTATTGCAAATGAATGTGTTGACGCTAGGCAGAAGGCTAAGAAATCTGGAATCCTTTGTAAACTAGACATTGAAAAGGCATTTGATCATGTTAACTGGAAGTATTTGATCAATATTATGAGGGTCATGGGTTTTAGGGACAAATGGCTTAAATGGATTTATTATTGCATTAGTACAGTGAAGTTTTCGGTTCTTATTAATGGAATGGATCCCCTGAAGGATTTTTTCAATCCGAAAGGGGATTAAGGCAAGGAGACCCTCTCTCTCCTTTTCTTTTCATCATAGCCATTGAGGGGCTTAGCAGTATGTTGAGAATCTCTACAACCAATGGTGATTTGAGGGGGTTCACTGTTCAAAATAGGGAAACCATCTTAGAGATCTCACATTTTCTTTATGCAGATTATGCTTTGATACTTTGTGATGGAGAGCCTTCCCAAATAATGCATTTGAGGCTGATTCTTACTGTTTTTGAAGGTATCTCCGGCCTTCATGTCGATTGGAGAAAGAGCCACCAAATTGTTTAATTCTTGCCGGTATTCTAGGTTGTGAGGTGGGTGCTCTACCTACTAAATATTTGTGTCTTTCTTTGGGCTCAAAAAACAAAGCTGTTGATATATGGGAAGGGGTACTTGATAGGTGTGAAAGGAGGCTTGCAAGATGGAAAGCATAGTACCTGTCATTAGGGGGAAGGGTCATTCTTGTCAACAGTGTTCTGGACTCCTTTCCCACCTATGTAATGTCTCTATTTCCAATTCCAGACAAAGTGAGACAAAGCATAGATTAGCTGTGGAGAAACTTTATTTGGGAGGGGAACGGGAATAGCAAACGCTTCCATCTGGTCAAGTGGAAGATCCTCATTTCTAGTAAGAAGGTGGGAGGACTAGGAATCAAAAATCTCAGAATACAGAATATGAGTCTATTATTTAAGTGGCTTTGGAGATATAACACTGAAGAGCAAGCATTATGGAGACAGGTTATACATTGCAGGCATATGAACAAACGGGCCACTGGACTACCAAACCAGTGACATCTGCCTATGGAGTGGGGAACTGGAAATCCATCAGGAATCTATGGGAGGTGTTTATAGAAAAGACAGGAGTCAGGTTGGGCAACGGGAAGAAAATCTCTTTCTGGAGAGACGACTGGTTAGGGAATGGGCCTTTGATTGATCAATTTCATGATCTGTTCATTTTATCCTCCTTTCCTGATGCTACAGTTGAAGAACTTTGGACTCCACAAGGGTGGAATATTGTATTCAGAAGGCTCCTTAATGATTGGGAGATCCCAAGAGTTACTGATCTCTTTGGTAAACTCTCGAAGGTTTCTCAGGCCTAAAGGAGAAGGAGGATTCTCATACTTGGATAGGCGGCACCATGGCAGTTCTCTCTGTCAAAACAGCTTACAACTACTTAATGGATTTGGAGCAGTTCAATGACCCATGGCCATGGAAAGAGATATGGAAAGCAAGAGCTCCTTCAAAGTGGTTTTGCTTACTTGGCTAGTTGTTTGGAAAGCCTGTCTCACTCATGATAAACTTCAAAGAAGGGGTTTTCATCTATGTTCTAGGTGTTTTCTATGCCATCAGGAAGCCGAAGCCAATGGGCATCTTTTCTTGCATTGTTCAATTACCAGACAACTATGACAACTTTTTGCAGCATTAGCTCAAATTGTTTGGGTGATACCCCGGAGTACGTTTGACCGGATATGTAGTTGGAACAATAGACAAGGAGAAACTTGTCACAGAGAGTGGTGGAAGATTGTTCCAGCTTGCATATGGTGGACAATTTGGAAAGAGAGGAATGCAAGATGTTTTGAAGGCAGGTGCAGTTCAATCTAGAAGATCAAGAGCTCCTGCATTTCTCTTCTCTATTTTTGGTGTAAGGAAAAGTTAGTTGATGATGTTGAATCATTACTAGACTTTATGGCCTCTTTGTAAGTTCTGTTTGAGGCTGTATCTGTAGATATGATATACCAGGCCTTTTTTTAGGGTGCTGATGAATATAACATGTTACCAATTTCAAAGAAAAAAAAACTATAGAAAGAAAGAAATTACAAAGTAATCCACTATCTCTGATCAACTTGAATAGTCAATTAATTCTATTTTGAAAATAAATAAAGAAAACTATCTTTAGAAGAAACATATTGCTTGTAATTAATAGGTAATTTAATCTGTTGCAACTCAATGATTCTTCAATAAATTGAAAAAGAAAATCAAAAATGATTTTGAAATGGAAAAGTGAAAAGAAGCAGTTACAGATTAGAGATAGCAGTGAAGCGGAATATTTTTTAGATAAACAAAGCTAAAATGAAGGTGTTGGGAAGCAGAATTTCACCCGCAACATGCCCCACTCCACCCCACCAAGTTTTTTTAAAAACTGATTCCCGCATCGGCTTTAACCCTCTCCCATCCCTGCCCCATTGCCACCCCAGATTCCCTCCAGTTGGCTACTGGTGCTTGATTTTGTGCTGGACTGCTTTTTTATCCTTTATATCATGTGCTTCATTTTTGCTTACTCATTCTCATGTGGGTTTTTTTTCTTTCAGTGGACACCGCCCAATTTAAGTGTACCTATATTAAATTTGGTGGACAAGACTTTTCAGCTGAACAGAAGAGGCTGGCTAAGGTGACAGCATGTTTTGTACTTCTCTACTTCCTATCCCATCCCATCCTGGTATCAAATTGAGAGTTGTTTTCCTACATTTAACTTCTCTTTAATAGTTTCATTATTGAATCGGTTTCATCGTCCATGTTTAACATCTTCATGCTTAATTTGGTTCCTAAAAATGATTTAGAAGGGTCGGTATAATATTTGATATGAAATTATGCCTAAACTACAAACTTGCCATCCTGAAAAGCTGAACTACTAAAATATTCACATTCTTTGCATGGGAATACATGAAGGAGAGAAAGAGATGATCCAGGATTTCACCAATTTAGACACGGTTTCAACAAAATTGTAACAAATGTCCTCGCCACCTCATTAAAGATTGGTCCTTTTTGGGGTTTTATTTTGGGTCTTTTACCATAAATCCACAATTCCCAAATTTTCTTCCCTCCCCTACATCACCCTAACTTCATTCATTAGTGGGAAAAAGGGATAGAGCAGCCATGGTTCTTCTCTAAAATTTCAAGTGTTTTTCCTTTTGCATCTTTGTCTTCTTCCAACATTTACAGTGCCATTAATGAAGGTAAGAATTAATATACTTCCATTTTGTTGATCAGATTATGGATTAAATATACTTTTTGCCTTTCTCGATGAGTGTTTATGCCCAGCGATCAGATTAAGAATTCCCATTTGTAGATTTGTTTTTTGCCTTTCTGTTAGTTCTTGCCTTCTGATTGATGGACTCAAGGTTTATAGTTTCCAGCTAAGTTGCGGGACTCTTCACTTTCGAAGCTTCCCCT